GGACAATGGGGTGCTGATCCTGGTCGATTCTGGCGACCGGCGGGTGGAGGTGGAGATCGGCTCAGGTCGGCCTTTCTGAATAGTTTAGCTCAACATAGCTTCTGGCAGCACGCGGTAGCACTGATAGTAGTATTCCTTGTGATTACTCAAGCTGGTCACTTTCCAAGTGGCACACATGCGGGAGCAGCTACCGGCTGTTGCGATAGACACCAGAGGAGTCTGCTAGTAGCGTTTCTCAAGCCTCTTCCACACCAGGGAGCCCAGCATCCATCTTACTACATGCTACTGTACTTAAAGCGCGGACGAACAACGAACACGGAATCAATATTGTACTGCTTCTTGATGGTGATGTAGTGCTTGTTGTGGTCGTCGTCGCAGGACTCAACGCGGCCTTCAAGCGAGATGGCTGGCTGCGCGGGATGATCGACACAGGCTGGCAACAGACCGTTGATTCGTTTCGCATGAGGGCGGGTATCTTGGGCTTGAGTTGGGGCTGAGCAACTTTCGGATTCGGCGACCTGGGCGCAGTGTTCAAGCGGCACTCCGTGATCCCAGCAATGCTGGAACTCCACCTAGCAACTTACTTTCGATACGAATCCGAAGCGTCCCGTAGATGGTCACATGATGCACAGAGCTTGAATCCTGGCAATACTTATGCTGACACCGGTTCAAGCCGTGGAATGGGGAGGCACCTGTCAGCAAAAAGCTGGTGCCGTGTTAGGAGCCAACGGCCCCAAGTGAGGTATTCTTCCTTCCCTGCGACACGGGAACTACAACGAGGGCGTCCTTGCCGGCCGGAGTGAAATGGGAGCGATGGGCAAGTCTTATCTGTTTGAGTGCATCTGTCTCTCTGTGCGCATGTATCCATGGATGGATGGATGGATGGATGGATGGATGGATGGATGGATGCAGGTATTACGCTTTGAACGTCGATCTATTACCCTTGATGTATTGAAGGTTACCTGCTTTCCGTATTTGCTGTTCAACCCACGAGCTTTCAATGTTTCGGTGTAGCTCTTCGTAAAGTCTCTCTTACTCTACCCGGTAGCACTTTCGTTGCTCATCGCACGTTGGAGGCGTGACTTCTTGCTGCCAAAAGCTGCTGGAGACGGATCGAGAGGCAGCCAGAAGTTGTCCCAAACTCCAGATCCCCTTCTGAGCCGTTTCGCCCAGGTCTCCTCACCCGTCCGCTTTCGCAATCGGGCATGGCTTCTTTGGGGTTCCAGCGGAATTTCGGCCTGGCTTGCAGCTATGCGACTTGACCTGAAGCAAGTTTCAAGACTTGGGGCGGCAGGTTGCGATCGCGAGGGCGGCGCCTGCTTTTCCAGCCGTCATCTGGGGGCGTACAAATTTGCCCCGTTGAATGCGATATGCTTTAAACCCAGAAGCTGCCGAAGGCTTCTGCTGGGCCGGACGTTCGCGCGGCCGCCGAAGTGCAGTCGATGTGGAGGCCGCCCTCCGCTTCCACAAATCGAAGTCTCCAACGTCCCACGTCTAACGCCACGTGAGAGGCCAAATGTCCCGGCTGCGAGAAGCAAAGGATGCAGAGCTGCAGGATGGGCAGAAGGCCTTGGCGTCGAGTCCGGTGTTTTTCTTTCCGGGACTGGTCTCAATCAGCTAAAGCCTTCAATTTGGCCGCAGGCAGAGAAGGCCGTGGGTTCGGCGCAGCACGTCCTCTGCGTTTGCAAGCGCACCGCGGCCCATGACATGACACATCATGACATGGGCCTAACATGGGCCTTGAACCATTTTTCCGTAGGGAGCCCGGCAGCCCTCAGAGAACCGAGGCCCCGGCTGCAAGGCCTCCTGGGCCAAGACCGGCGCCGTGCGCCGTCTCTCCGAAAAGCCTCGGAGTCTCAAGGCATTCTGAGAAACAAAAACTCGCGCCATTTTTTGGGGTCTGGATCTTGTAGGGTTTGACAGAAATTCAAGGTTTCCCCCCACACACTGATCGCTGTTCGCACGAAGCCTACCTAGCGACGCACACGGCAGTTCCGCGGCCCCCCTGTGGCGCGGTGCACATTTCCACATTCCTGCTGTGCATTCTAACGCTTTAGCGTTCTCCAGCTGATGAGTCGCTCTACTCTGACGGTCTCAAAGTCCGTGTTCGTTTTTCCGTCGGATTGCTCGAAGTCGAGGTCCCAACAGGCATAGCAGGCACATCAGGCCCCTCCTCGGGGCTCCTGGCTTTGGAGTTCTGCGATAGCTCAAAATGTATTATGTTCCGGCTTGGCCGCCTTGGCCTTGTGAGCCCACCGCGCCCAAATCTGGAAAAGAGCTGCGCGCTAGAGTCGTGGATTGTCTATAACTGACTTCGGCGTCCCCCAAAATGAAGCGGCCGTCGCGGGGTTTTAATCGCGGAACGTGCGTTTGCCACTGCGGGAACCAGGGAGCCACTGGCTGCACCGAGGGCAGTTTTCATCTCGTGGCTCTTATAAGACAAGGAACCCACAGTGCTAACATACCACACGGCTTGCGGAATATCGGGATAAGTATCAGATTCCCAATTCCGGCAGTTTCCTTTAACTGGAGGGCCCAGGGGTAAGTTGGGCTCTTTGAGGACCGGCGCCTCGGGGGTGCCTTGGAGCGGACTTCGGAGCTGAAGTTGACCGGCCAGGAGGTGAAGGCCTGTGCTCCGCCGGCAAAGCGCCCAGCCCCAAATCCTTCCCCGCTGCTCGCCAGGAGGCCGCGAAGACGGATGCTGCGGTTGGAATCCTGGCTGCTGACAGGCCGGGTGGGCACTGGCGAAACGACAGCCGGCCGTCGCTCGGGTGTGGGCTTGTAGGCAGCCCTGATTGGAGCGAGACTTGACGTCCTTCACGAGTCCTGACTCAGGTGGGCATCACGGTACCGCACCTGCCCTGCTTGCGGCCACTAGGGTGGAAATGAGAAATACCGCGAGGCTTTGAAGTCATAGCTATCCTCTTCGTATCACAGACCTATTGCATTGCAGCACACTTCATCTGGAACTAAGGCTACAGGACTCAGCTGTCCCGGAGCTTCCGAAATCCTGTTACCGGCGGGTCGTTCAAGGAGACGTTTCGAATCAGGTTCGTTTGCGGTTATCTTAGGCTCCAGCCTTGGGTTCAGGTAGCGGAGGCTGAGATTCAAGGGCCAGAGAGGGCCAGAGTTACACACAACCCACCCCTGAATGCCAGAAAGGAGACCGAGTGCTTTTTCTGCAACGCCTACACCTGTGTCGAGGCCACCGTACGTGATGATGATGATCATCATCATGATCATGATTACGATGGCGAGGAGGCTGACAGTGATGACGCCGACGATGGTGCTGGTGATAGTCTAACGACGGCCACTAGCCTGGTTGTAACACGGTTCACACACACCTTGTCAGACTTCTCGTCTTTTCCCTGCAATAGTCGACATAGATAAACTTCGTGACTCGAGGAGCACCAACCTGGAATCAAGATAACCTGACCAGCCGCTGCCCAAAAGCTTTACTACCCCTGAAAGCTTTATGCCGGTTCCCAACCATTCGGCCCAACACCCAACGGCAGTGCGAGGTGCAGCCCGTCGTGACCTTTTCTGACAGCTCCACAACCGGGTCCACAACAGGCGACGTGGCTGATGAAGGCGAGTGGCGAGTCACTTTGGACGTCCTCTCGTGTTTTCAAAGCTAGCAAGGGTGGGCATTAACAGATGCAGCTTTTTTGCCAGATGCTCAGGTAGTAGCAACTCTTGGGGTGGCGGCAGCAGCGACGGTGGCGGAGAAGGCGGAGACTTCTGAAGGCGCGAAGCACATCTTCAATGCGGAATGTCACCGTCCCGACATGGTGTTGGAAACACTGAAAGAGGACACCGTGCAGGAGATTCAGTCTTCAGCACCGTGGCCAAGACGCTCTTCCGGTCACCGAACGTTGACCTCGTGGAAGTCCGTGCGCCTCTGATTACGCCGGCGTGGTGGTGACACGATTGCCCACCAAACTGGGCCAGGGGCCATAGGCATGCAGCCAGCCAGCCTCGCCTGGCGAGAAGTGGTGGATCAAGCCCCTGGTGGCCAACCAAATCGCTGGATTTGCCGCGGACCCTAGACACCTGGACACCTGAACTGGAAGGAAGTCGAGAAGCGCAGCTTTCTGATTCCGGAAGAGGCCTGCAGCCTCAATCCCGCCTTTCCGACACTCCCTCGAGCCTTGAGCACTCTCAATCGAAGCAATCAGCGGTAGAGCGAGTCTTGCCCATCTACCTCTTCGAGGGACTCGAGCCGCCCGTGAGGCAGGCGGTCCGCGACGGCTTCCTGCAGAAGAGAGGGGTCACAGCTGTTTCAACTGCCCGCTTCGCACGGAAAGTCTGTAGGTGTATTTGGCACCGTGACGGGTTTGACCACATTCTTGGCAGACAAAGAAATCGTATATTTTTTTGCACTCGGACGGTGATGCTGGCATTGGCGATACGAGTCATCACCCTGTTTCAGCTGGAGCTTAAGGCAGGAAAGGCAATACAAGGCAACCGACCGCAGCGCTTCATTTGTCGTCTTGCTTTGGCTTTGGTCGCCAGCTTCTTTCTACTCACCATCCCTTTGGCGCCCAACGCCGGCGCCGCAGAGTTTTCCAGTGCAGAGTGGGAAGGCTCCGACTTTGCCACGTAAGAACACACTGTGCCAAACTCCCGCCCGTGAGGGAGGAATTTGACACCGAGCAAGCGCAGTAAGAGGAAGGTCTGGAGTGTGCGTGAGAAAAGCCGATGCGGGTTGCACTTAGAGTGCAGCGACGTTGGCTCCGGGACCTTGCTGGGTTCCGGGATTCACCGAATGAAGTCCTTTTGGTTTGAACCGTCAAGTACAGGAACGGACTCAAAGCAGGTTTTTTCCGCATTGATCACGCCGCTCGGCCCAGGTGCCGAGACCGATCAACACTGCAAGCAGCTGCAAGGTCACACTGGCACAGAACTTGCCCAAGCGTGAAGAAACAGGCCTCCAGCCTCAGCGCCAGTTTGGAACCCTGAGCCCCAAACCAGGCCCAACCGAGTTGTTGCTTGGCGAGGACACCCTGGCGCTGCTTCAACTTCCTGGACCGCGGCACGATAGCATTGGCCCTTGGACTGACAGATAGCAACAGCCAAGTATTTGGGGATCTGCTTTGGGAGGGAGGGAGATTGGAATGGATTGGAGCTTTTGGCACTCTGCTGGCTGGAACGTGGCCCTTGCAAAAGTCTGAAAATGCACCGTTGAAGTTGGCGAATCACAGCAAGGAGTCCTGCCGCTCTGGAAAGTCGTTCACGGAAATGTGTCCAGTCGCTGTAGGCCGTGGCCTGTGGCTGTCTCGGACAGCCCAAACGTGATGCCATGAAGGTCGCTGAAAGTGCTTGAGAGGCAAGTAAGAAGGAATCGGATCTCCAACATAGCGGAATATACGCTGCAGAGTTTCCAATCTAGTTCCATGTCTCAGATCCGAGCTGAGCCAGATCCGGTTTGCTCGATCACAAGGCGCACAGACGGCTCTCGACGCCTTTGCACGGAGCAGCCGCTGGCGCCAAGCTCTCCTCGTAGTGCCACCCGGCTGGGGAAGCCGTCAGTCAGAGCCTGGTATGCCGATGCTTCCATCAACTAGGCAGCCTACAGCAATGAAGCTCAGAGCTGACTTCCAAACAGGCACGAACCAAGCGCTTTTTCAACAAACCCCGCATGCAAAGTTGAGGCATGCTCAGAGTCATGGGCTGATCATTCAAGTCATGTTTAACTGGAAAGGCTTTTAAATCCTCGAAGCAATCCCCTACACGACATGCTGTGAACGAGACCCTCCTCAAACATGCAAGGTGCCGCCACCGCCTCCACACAGACGTTGCGCGGCAGACGACCATGGAATCATGTTCCGCGGCTGAGCGCCAGTCAGATTCTGGTGTTCTCGTTCTACTTCCTGATGTGCCTCCTGGTACGATATATAAAGATGCCGAGTATGCTATCCACATGCATAGGTGGTGCAGTTATTTTGATTGGCAGTTCGCAATTGTTGCATGTTGCAGCAGCAGCAGCAGTAGCCATTTCAGTTGTGGATATTCGGGGAGTAGGAGTAGCAGGAGCAAAGGTGTTGGAAGATGTTGCAACAGTGGCACTTGAAACGGTTGCGGCGGCAGCACGAAGCCACATACACGAGACTGCTGTGAGAGCCACCCTAGGAATCACCCTACTGCCGCAGTGCATTTCCGTCCAGAAGTAATTCGAGAGGGTGCACAGGCGAATGCTTGCGGAACGTGTTTCTCAATGTGCTGCAGGGCTTCAAGTGAAGCTACTGGCATACGAACTAGGCAAGAGCAGCAGTGCATGCAATGTTGTGGCATCCTTGCTTTGCTCCTCTTGCCTATTGCTCCGCATCAACCACTTGAGTAATCCTAGTGCTGGTACTCGCACTCGGTACTTGAAATGGTACTTGTACTAGCACTTATCCTATTAGTACTGCTGTTGCTGCGCTGCTACTACTACCGCCGCTACTACTACTACTGCTGCTACTACCGCTACTACGACTGCTACTGCTACTACTACCACCACCACTACCACTACTGCTACTGCTACTACTACTACTACTACTACTACTACTACTACTGCTACTGCTACTGCTACCGCTACCGCTACTGCTACTACTACTACTACTACTACTACTACTACTGCTATCAGTAAATCCTTTAAGACTTTACAAACTTTAAAACATTTAGAACTCGTAGTAGTGGTGGTAGTAGTAGTAGTAGTAGTAGTAGTAGTAGTAATGGCAGTAGTTGCAGTAGTGGAAGTAGTAGTAGCAGTAGTAGTA